AAATTCGCTAGTTTTTCACTTATGTAAGTGCGCTGACTGCCGTTGTCCATAACCAATCTGCTTAGCCCCCGTTCGCTGTTAGTGACGTCACTAACGACAGCTTTTGCAGTTTGCAGGAATATGTCAATTTGCTCTGCCGATATGGTATTCAAAGTCGCTGTTCCGGCTAAAGAGTTTGACAAAGCAGCTTGTGCTCCCGTTACGCTACTATTACCTCCTTGCTTTTTAATGTCGCTTCGATCGCTCATTCGTAAATTTTTCTCACTGGCTTTTGCTTGCTCACACATGGGCGTAAGGTGCCTACCGCTACATCCATTGCATTTTACCCACTGCGCTCTGCAGAATTTGGAGCTGTGGTTCTTATTCCCGCATCGAAAGCATCTACTCTCTTGTCTTAGCAACTGCTTTCTTTGTTCGACGCTCATGTTGCTAGTGCAGTTTTTGGTGCTGTGACTGGCGCTCTTGCAAAATATACATTGTGGATTACTGTTTCCGTTAGCATAAAGAGTGGTAGCGGTACCTTGATTTGCGCGTGAAATTCTTTTTTGATCCCGTTCATCGCTTCTTTTATCTCGCTCGGATAACTGCGCCTTGTCAAGGGCTTCAAGCTCCACCTTAATAAATTCAAGGAGGGATTTTAGATTATCATCTTTATGGTGGGCAATGTCAGTTTCCGCTGCGTTAACATTCTCAATCGCTGTGCTGTTGATGTTGTCAGTCATTGTGGTACAGAGTGAACCTTTACCACCAGCTCTGTGATATTGTACACGCAGGCTTGCAGGTAAAACCTTAAGCAATACTGATTTTGCCACTATGTCATATTGATGAGATGGTACTCGCAGCGCGCTAAGTGACCTAATTATAGCACTAATTTCGTTATACAACTGACGTAGTGCATGAACATCACTGGAATTATGCACAACCTTCAAATTAATCAACTTCTGGAGGTATTTCTCAACAATTTTTTCGGTATTGCCGTATTCTTCCAAGAGAAGCGATACAGCATCTGAATAACAAGACTCAGTTGGCGTAAATCCGGCTATCGTTGCCGCTGCTTGGCCAACCAATGCCGCGTTCAGGTAATTAAATTTAGTAGCTGCTGAGAATTTGCGATTTTCATGTACTGCACGCTTAAACTGTTCCCAAAAGGGAAGCCAGTTTTCGAATTTCCCTTCAAATTTCTTCAATTCAAACGATTTTAACCTAACGCCGTTACACTCCCTAACCTCCTCGAAGGTGGCGCCCTGTCCGTTGGTGGGTCCATCTATCTCCCCAGAGTTAACTTTGAAATGAGTGTTCAACACGTGTTCCAATTGCGCAATAACGGTCACAGCTTTGTCATCATATTCGATTACACTCTCACATTCCTTTTGGAGATCTTCAGCCTTAATGCTGGCGCGCATGGCCTCGTCTGCCCGCTTGAGATTTGTGTGTGCATTTTTCAAACGCTGTAGGTATGTAACCACCGTATTTTCTATCGTAGAAGCGTCACTCGCGTCGGCGTATGCACTTATTGTAAAAGTCTTCAAATACTCCGTAATTGTGTTACATAATTTGGTAACCTGCGTCCTGCACGCTGCTCTATATACGCTGTCCATTTATTCGTTTTTTTTTCAAACGTGTTATTAAATCGCTTGAAAACGCTGGGTATTAAACCGGTATCACCCGTAAGCTAATTCTAAATCCGTTCTTTTTTACTTAAAGAATTGCTTCTGTCCCAGGTTTCGGCACCATGTAAAAATTAATTGAAATACGCTTTTAGATTTCGCCCGGTCTTGCGACAGTTTCGGCTTGTGGTTTAATACTAAATTCAGTTTCAGTACAATTCATTTATGAAGAGAATTCAACATTAGAAGTGTGAATGTGTGTAAGTGTAATTGTGAGTAAATAAAGTGTAAAAGACAACAAAGTGATAACAACGATCATCAATTTTCAACAGTACTAATACAGCACAAAACGAACTGTGGCGGCCTTTTATTTGCGTGATTGCCAGTGGAAATACACATTTTAACACGAATCTAGCCCCAACGACGACCAAGGGCCATCCTGTGAAAGTTGCTGCTGTTTTGGAACCGCATCTTGTCGTCGAAGAACGTTCATCGTCCACCTGGAGTCTTTGGACTGACTGCCCGTTCGAGACGAACAACCAAGCACCGCCCCTTGTACAGACGCGTTCTTGCGCGCTAAGGCCACCAGCTCCGTGAAATCTAAGCTGAGCCATCATCTGCTGTCATCCACCGGCATTATCCAGATCGTGCCGCCAGTGCACCAGTAGTTCGCCGTCGGCGCAAAAGGTTCCGCCGCCGTCTTCGCCAGCCGTCACCGTCCACCCGTTGGAGAAGCCCCATTACCCTCATCTACCACAAGGAAGCCACCTGCGCTCTATTTTGTGGCGTCCACACTTGGCAAACCATGTTAGCTGAGGGAGAGCGGGAGACCAGGTTTAGATTTGTGGTCGAGTTAGAGTAGTAGATGAGGTAGGGATTACGTTTGTGAGTGTTTATGTACCGAGCTCAATGAGCCCGTATGGTGTATAGGTGCACATCAAGGCAACGCACTCCATATGCCTGCTATGCGAGAGAGAGAGAGAGAGAGAGTGAGATATGCGGGCGGGATGCATTCATGCAGAGCCCCAGTGTGGTTTGTAAGCCTTAGCTTACTACTGCGCCAAAAATTACTCCGGAAGTGGAGTGAGAGTGATGCTTAAAGCATCGTGTGATAGCCAAGCTGGTTTAGCCAGCGACTTATCACTTTACTAAGTTCAGCGAAGAGATATTTGAGAATTGCATAAAAAATGCATACCCAATTAAGAACGAGCGAATTACTTTTAAACACAAGTGCGTGTGTTTGTTCACTGCACTTGGTTTTGGGCGGGAGTGCAATACAAGTGCGTGTGTATTAGAGGTATACGCCGCCGTTTTTTGTCATTTCTCACGCGCCGCCGCCGAGTTACGAAAATATCGGCGCGGCGGCAGCGGCGGCGGCGTTCGGCGCTTAACGAATTTTGAACATTGAAATACATCGTTTGAAGGAACTAAATACTACTCGCATAAAAATACTATTTTACTAAATGAAAATTGCATTTTTAAAGGAGTTTTTTTTGCATAATTTGGGCCACTGAACATTTCCAAAAAAAAGGCGTTACTCAGAAAAAACAGCGGTAACACGTTTTTCAATCGAAAGCGTTTATTACAGTTAAATTAGGGTCGAATACTGGTAATTTGACGATTTTATTCCGTAGTAGAATTTTTTTTCAATACTACAACAATACTACTATATATATATATATATATATTTATATATATATACTAACACAAAAAGAAAGTTATAACACATCAAAACCTTTACCGCCAACATCTCAGAAAGCAGTTTAACAGAAGCGCAGTTATTGCATCTCACTCCTCAACTATTGGAGATAAAAGAAAGACAATTTGATTACCTGTGTACACTTTTTTTGATAATTTTTGCATTCATAAGTTATTTTATTCTGGGATCCCGCAGACATATACAAGTACTAGGTGGCTGTGTGAAAATTACATTAGCATTCCTAAGTGGTGGTCAAATCTCAGAAAGGTTGTGCTCCCACGCATCGCAATGTCTTCTACACAGGGTTAAAGTCCCCCTTTTTGGTAAAAATTACTATTATTTTTCATTACATTCGGTTCTCCTTAGACAAATTTGGCGCTTAATATTTTAGTGGAAATTTTTACCATCTATAAGCCATTTTTATACAATGGGTCAAAAAGGCCCGTTCTGGTGGGAGTTGATGGGTTAAACTTATGGAAAAAAGTAGACCAAACCTTGTTTTCAATACATAACCCGCAATAAATCGTAATAACTCCGCAATTTAACATATCGTTTGATAGGATTATTGCAAACATTTATTGATAGCGACATAAATTACCCCAAAACTTAACTTTTAAAATTTTTTTATTTCTTTAAATTTAAAAAGTACATACGGATTTGTAGAGAACATAGATATGTATGTATATACCTCAGCCTTTCTTCTGTTTGCCAATCCATCAGCGGCAAAGACTCAACATTTTAATTCAAGTATAAAGTAACGTAATTTTCATTTAAAACTAATTCAATGAATGAATTAAATACAATTACAACCTGAATTGGCATGGCCAATGCTTAGCGCTGACGAGATGACATGATAAGATTAGTAGCCTCACGGCTCTTTGGAATCTACCTTATGGGCAGTAGCGCCGGCGTTTCCAGACGCGCCGGCGTCGCCGCCGCCGCAAAGCCTGTCGGCGTAAACCTCTAGTGTGTATGTTCGCTGCACTTGGTTTATGCGTGAAATACAATATAAATGCGTTTGGGTGTTCGCTGTTCTTTGTTTATGCGGGAAGTCGCTTAAACAGACACAGTAGGACCGCTGAGGCCATCTAATAACTATAGGTACATACTAACCCTTCAGTGTGAGTGAACCAAATTTGTTGAGCCAATTCCTTTAGAAAACAAAAAAGCAGCGACTGTAGCGAAAGCAATAGTAGAAAAATGTATATTAAAATACGGATGTTTTAGAAAACTGAAGACAGACAAAGGCACGGAATTTACAAACGAACTCTTAAAGAACATATGTAAGTTGCTTAAAATAGAGAAAACAACCTCAACACCTGTCCATCATGAGACTTTAGGAACTATAGAAAGGAACCACAGGGTTCTCACCGACTATTTGATGACCATGCAAGGAGTAGATAATTGGGATGAAATGATTCCATATTACGTCTATAGTTATAATTCAACACCACACACAACTACGACATATACTCCCTTTGAGTTAGTCTATGGCAAATTAAGTGCATTACCATGTGAGATAATAAAGAATAGAGAGACATTGTAAAATATTGATGATTATATAACAGAGTTGAAACTGAAACTGAGATACGCGCACACTAAAGCAAAAGAAAATTTATTACAATCAAAAATTGTGAATAGAAATAAGCAGAGCAATGTAAAAAGGCAAATTTCCAAGTAGGAGAATTTGTATATGTAAAAGTAGGAAACAAGAGAAAGTTGGAAAAACCATTTAAAGGTCCATTCAAGATTATGGATCAAAAAGGGACAAATAGTACATTACTGATAGATAAAAGGAAGTCGAATTATATAATAATAATTTAGTCAAATGTAGACACAGCAATTAAAATATTATTAAGAAAAAAACCGTCTCTACTCGTATAACTTACTTTGAATTTTAAGAAATTACAACTTGAGGGGTAGGATCATATATGGGTGTTTCCATCGGAAGGTCCACCACGACAAAAAAAATAAAAGTCTTATATCTAACGTATTTACGGGCCGATTTGTCTGCTTTTTAAAATATATACTGGCTATGTAAGTAGAATCATGTTTGCGTAAAATGGTCTTCCTAGGTGGCGCCAAGGTTGAGATATTTCGAAAAACGGTATATATGGTCCGATTTGGCTCGTATTTGGCATATGTAGTTGAAACATAATAAGTCATAGATTTCCAACAAATTCAACCTGAATTGGCGCTAAAGTCAAAATATAAAGTATGTTCTACATAAAATACATGTTTTATTTGCGTTAAAAATTCATTTAAAAGCAATATTAACAAAAATATAACGATGGAAATTTATCGCACGTGACGCTTCGTTCGCAGAGTTTTGCGATTTTGTAAGAAAAGAAAAAATCTACTTCCATTTTTGGTGACGTAACGACACTCTCTTTAAATGCTTATATTTCAGGACCAAGCAGTTCGATTGTTTTC